TCAACCTTACTATATATTTACTTTTATTCTATAAACGTTTGTTTGTTGCTAAATTATATATATATATATATATATATATATATATATATATATATATATATATATATATATATATATATATATATATATATATATATATATATATATATATATATATATATATAAAATGATTTACATGTATTGTTACGTTTAATTTTAAATAAAAAATTATTTAATAATAATATATAAAAGATAAAATAATTATTAAATTATTAATTAAGAATGTTATTTTTTTTTTGTATGATCTACTGGTGAAGGGTTGGGTTTTAAGAGTGTGTTTCTCTTAAAGTTTAAACTTTGAATTCAATTGTTATTTTACCTAACATTTCAATTAACTTATTCATTATCAATTATTAACATTCAGTTATTAGTCATCAACTATAATCGAGTAATTTATTGATTATCAACTACTTTTATCAAATCACTCCTTAATCCCACCCAAATTCTAATAATCAACAAATTAACAACTAAAATAAGAAAATTTGACAATAGTATTTGGCTTAGCTGTATTCTTATGCATTTGATATATGTTAAGTTTGCTTCACTGCTTAGGAATGTCATTCCTATCTTAATGGTCAATTACTTATATGAATGAACATTCTTATTTTCTTCCATAAATTTTTCTTTCATTATTAACATACATTATATATACATTTCCTTGTGACTTATGAAAACCATCATTTCTTGTTGATATTTCTCTACTTAGCCTCAACATTCACCATTGCACTTACCATCACCAAAACAAAACACCAAAGACAAAACAAACAAACTATATATACCTATAATCATACATCATTTGTCATTGAACTCAACCTTATCTAGAAAGATGAAAATGGTTGCCATTGAAGAGCTTTCACTTGTTCAACCAGAAGCTGTTGTGTATGAGATTGATCATTTGCAAAACAACCTAACAGGTAAAGAGCAAGGTTTTCAAAACATAAGCTTTAAGAAAATAGAGAATGTTACTAGCAAAATTAAGCCTAAAAAATAATTATGAGTAAATTTTAATCCATTGCAGAAAAGGTTAATGAACTAGCAACTTGCAAAGATGAAATCAACGCCTTGAGGGCAATAGAAGCTCAGAAAGATAAGGCAATAGAAGAGGTATTTATTTTTTTAATATCCTCTGCGCACAAATGTAGAGACTAATCTCTCGAGTTAGGGAGGACCATAGTAGACTGTTCGTTTGTTGGTAACAAAATATTTAAATTTCTCGGTTATTAATAATATCTGTAGTCATCTTTCTCTAATTTCAGCTGAGAAATGAAGTTGGTAAGCTTGATGAGAAACTAAGACTTAGTGAGAATCATGTTAAACATAAGGTAAAGATGATTGGTTTAGTTTAGTGTATCTTGGAAGTTTGAAAGTTGTGAAAAATGCTAAATTTCTAAAATGCATGTTCTTCAAAAATATTTTCATGTGCAGAATCTTGAAATCAAGAAACTAACAGATGAAAAGAAAGATGCGTTGGCCGCGCAATATGCTGCTGAAGCGGCTCTTCGAAGATTACACACAGATCAAAAGGAAGATGATTTCTTTCCATTTGAAAGTGTCATTACTCCTCTTGAGGCTGAGATTAAGATGTATAGGACCAAGGTATTGATGATCATGCAATTTATTTTCACTTTAGATTCTTTTACGATGAAGTATTAACGCTTAAATATGATAATATTGACATCGGTTTTATCTACAGATTGTAGAACTACAAGAAGATAAGAAAGCTTTGGAAAGAATCACAAAGTCGAAAGAGTTGGCGTTGCTTGAAGCAGAGAGGATTTTAAGAAGTGCATTAGAGAGAGCTTTGATAGTTGAAGAAGTTCAGAATGAAAACTTTGACTTGAAGAGACAGATTGAAATCTGCCAGGCATATATCTTTTTTATGCTTCCATTTTTTCACATTTAGTTTGAGTATCGAACCGCAAATAGTTTCGGCCAATTTATGCAACTTTCATGAACACAGGAGGAGAACAAAATCTTAGAGAAAAGCCACCGGCAGAAGATTGTGGAAGTTGAAAAACTTAGCCAAACAATTCATGAACTTGAGGAGCTCATCTTATCTAATGGAGCCAATGCTAATGTCGTTCGCGATTATCAGCGACAGATTTCCGAGTTGCAAGTAAGCATCTAAGCATATGTTAAGGCTACTCGGGTTTTGGACTAAATTTTTATAGTAACATGGTTTTGGCATGAACTTTCAGGATGAGAAGAGAACATTGGAGAGGGAACTAGCAAGAGTAAAAGTTTCGGCTAACAGAATTGCGACTGTTGCGGCTAATGAATGGAGGGATGAACATGATAAGGTGATGCCTGTTAGACAATGGCTCGAAGAGAGACGGATGATGCAGGCAGAGATGCAACGGTTGAAAGAAAAGCTAGCAATATCAGAAAGAACAGCAAAAGCAGAATCACAATTGAAGGTAGTTTGTTCTTTTTTTTTTATGTTAGCGTATAAGAAATCGTAACGAATGTTATCGGTGTATTTTTCTCAGGATAAACTGAAGCTGAGGCTGAAAACACTGGAAGAAGGCTTAAAGAAATTCTCAATCAATTCCAATGCATTTTCAGGGTCTCCGACAAATGACAAAGTGAATATCTTAAGTTTCGTAACGAACAATGGTGGACTGAGAAACAGGTCTACATCACAACCAAGAGGATCTACTGTTGGAAGCACTTTGTTCCAAAAGTCAAACATAAAAGGAAACATGGAAAGTGTTTCTGGGAACCGAAAATCGGCTAGCATTACAAACTTAAAATATGGTTCTACAGAAAATGTCTTTAAAAAAGGTATATGGGCGTCGAGAAACAAATTTTCTGATGGTGGTGAAAAAGAAAATGAGATGCAGGTGAACACTGGCATTGTTAAAACCAGTGTTAATGTTGATGAAGACTCGAAAAGTAATAGTTGTAATGACTTAGGAAGCAATGATGTGGTTTCTGGATTTTTATATGATAAGCTTCAAAAAGAAGTCATCAATTTGAGGAAGTCTTGCGAAACAAAAGACACTAGTTTGAACACTAAAGATGAAGAAATAAAGGTACTAGTAATAAGCATGCCTCTATCCGTATATCAGTGTTGACGATCCTAGATCACATAAAATAGTGGTTTGTTCAAATTCTGCTACGTTATAGCCGCTATTTAACAACATTGGCTCATATCTCCCTTTTCAGATGCTCGCGAAGAAAGTTGACGCACTAACAAAGGCTATGGAAGTGGAATGGAAGAAAATGAAAAGAGAAGCAGCTGCTAGGGAGAAGGAGCATGCATCAATAAAATCAGATGATAAAAGGAAAAACCGAAGCTCAAACTTCTCTAAAAGGTTCTTTTCTGTGACTTTTCTTTTGAACGAATGATACATTTTACTTCTATAGTTAACTGTTAACCTGAACATTGTTATAAAATTTCTGCAGGGTGATGAAAGAACATTGAACATTCTTTATGTGGAGAAAATCGGAGGCACTTTATTTATCAACGCATCTTGTAAATCTTCTTGTATATACAAAACATTATTTAGTGTGTTCCAATAAAGTTTCACCTGAGTAATGAGTCTGAGATCGAATTCTGTACATACAAAAGTACTGGATGTCTTCCTCTGTAAAACTACTATCAATAGTTCTGAATCTAAATGGCGTGATAATTGTTATAATTGAGTGTTAAGGATATCTATGTACCTGTAATGAATTATTATTACAAAAGCACATGAAGCGTATAATCATACATCAAAAAACAACTTGGCATAAGAAACTCCAGTTTATACAATCTTACAGTAGAAAATAGCAAGGATACATTCCACCAGTATATTAGCTTATGCCAAAAAAAATTGACAAACTGCATAGGCTTGTTGTTCATTCAAAAATAGGAACAACAGCTAGCATTCACTACTCCAACAGTATCATGATCGTTGTCCGACATGTGACAGACGGACACGTGTAGTACATTCAATTTCTTTCAATTTTCCAATTACTATTAGTGGCACAGCAAAATGATAGGAAAGCTTATATTGCATCCACCTTGACCATTCAAAAGTTCTGCACTTCTTGAATAGTTGGTAAAGAAGGAAGCCATTTTTGACATGTTCTCGACACTAAACTTTTCCTAACAGGGGTAACTCTAGTTTTGATTTGAAACTTCTTTGATCCACTTAATAGTAATTTCAACTGTTCTGTAGTCACCACAATCTTCACAACCCTTGTCTTCATCTTTCTATCATCAGTTATCATACAAGGTACCAAAGGCTTACCAGATTGTCTCAAGAATGGTGCGAGATGGTAAACCTCTCCGTGCGGCACTTTCCTACATACTGCAGTGTAATGGTTACTAGGAGTGGTGTTCGTCTTTTCAACTGGTGCCGAGGAATTATTAGCCTCTAGCTCCCTTCCTTTGATTAGAGGATACATAGTTTGCTTCTTTGATTGAGAGTAACAGGCCAGACAGTTTCCCATTTTGCTTGATCAAAAGAACAAAGACTCTCACAATTATATAGAGAGGTTTGGTTAGGTCAAACCCATGTTGGAGGATATATTTTGTTATGTAAACGTGCAAGCCATCAACTGATCACACTGCATTGATTCTGATTTTGACTTCTTTAATAAATAAACATAAAACCCTCAAAAAAGTCAAATGAGATCGTAGTAGTAGTGACTTGAAGGTGCTAATCACTTTTAAAATATTGTTCTTAACAAAAGTCAGAAGCATTTTTTCCTTCAATTTACCAATCACTATAAAAAATAAATAAAGCTACAAACTTTAAGTCAACCCCACATAATAAAAATCACTAAATAAGGTCAACCATTATGCTCAACAAACAAGTCAACCTTAACAGTATTGACATATTTTTCTTTTATTTCTTTTTTCTTTTCTAAGGTTTTCGGAATAAAACATCCACAATAAAACAAATAATATTTCTCTAATCAACTTATATTAAAATTTCCTACATGAAACATGGCTGCCTAAAACAACCCTGTCAATGAGAAAGAGTCATAACAGGAACACCCAAGACCCTGGAGTTCAAAGCAGCATCTGTTTCAGACGAACCCCTAGACTGCAGCCATGATTTGACTGCTTCATTCGTTGTTAAAAACCAACCAGTATCAGTATCCTTTTCGAATGGAGCATTATGTTCCTTCAGATATGATTCAACTACACTGAATGAAGACTTGTATTTCGCAGTCTGGATTCCAAGTACTAATGGAAGCTCCTCCCCTGATTCCAAAGCCTTAGACAAGTCATTTATCCAAACATGTAAGGCTGTTAGAGCAGTTCCAGTTGAGAGACTCTTTACATGCAAAGCCCACCTAGTTTGAGATCTGATCTGTATATTTGTATATATCCCAAGAGTATGTCCCAAGCTGAGAAGCTCATGAGCTCTATCCAGAACATCCAGGTTGACACAAAGATCAATTAAACTGTTGCACAAAGACTTCTTTATAACATAGTCATCAATTGTATTAAAAAGTTCCGATGCTTCCTTCCTAAAATCTACACCACCCTCCTTCTCTTCCACCAAATATCTAACCACAAAACCAAGCTTTGGATTAGCCTTCTCAATACAATCTGTTATTTTACCATGTTCTTGTTTCGGTATTTGTGTCATAACATGCAAAAGACAATCACACAAGCGATTATCAAGACTAATGCCTAAATCCAAAAGTTGATTAAATATCCTCACAACATCGTCGGTTCTTTTTGTTTTTCCGTAGCAACCTGCAAGAGATGTCAGAACTAAAATATTAGGCTCAAATCCACAACCTATCATTTCATTCAACATAGCTTCAGCCTCAGAAACTTTTCCAGCGGAAGAGTACACGCTAATCAAGGATGAGTAGGTAACACTGCACGGATGGCAAGTTCCCGAACATTTCATATCTTTAAATATTTCAACAGCTTCATCAACATAACCAACATTAGAACACATATCAAGAAGCATGTTATATAAAACTCTACCCACATCCATTCCCTTTTTTTTCATTTCCTTATACACACTCAACGCATCTTCTTTATAGCTTCCTCTACAATAGGCGTGTAAGACAGCTCCATAGGTTGATTGATTCGGCAGAATCCCATTGTTTATCATTTCCTCATATACAGCCTTTGCTTTCCATGCCATCTTGGCTCTTCCCATGGCATGCAACATATTTCTGTATGTTCCCATGTTAGGCTTAACACCAAGAACCTTCATATCATTGTAAACACACACACATCCATCATAATTTCCCAACTTCCCATACATCTTAATCAGCGCCATGAATGCCAATTTATCAACTTTCCATTTCTCCTTCTTTGCACGATCATATAATCTCAAAGCCACATCAACACTACCAACACGTGCATAAAAAGAAATCATACCCGACGACAACTTATCATCCTGCACACATTCGAACGAAGGCATCATCTCAAACCACTCCACAGCCTTATGATGCATAGAACACAATGCAGCAGAACTAATCATGGTCGAAAAAGTAATACCATTAGGCTTCACCATTCTCTGAAGCATTTCATCAAACAATTTCTCTGCTTTTTCAAAATCCCTACTCTCCCTAAACAGTTTCATCATCACATTGTAAAGAACAACATGCTTAACAGGTTCAATCTTTTCCCTAAAGTAATCAAAAACAAGCATTGCGTTATCGGGTCTCGACATGTTATTGAGAATAAAACCAGCATTACTTACATTTACATTGCCTGGAAAACCGTTGATGATTTCAGAAACTTGTTGGTGATTAGGAGGATCACATGAGTCAAGAGATTTGGCAAGTTTCAATAGAAATGAAGAGTCATTGTTAAGGTGTTTGGCTTTGGGGTTTTTGGGATTGACCCAAATGGTTGTTTTTGATAAAGGTGAAGACTTTGAATCTGGGTGGTGTGGTTTATCGTTTTTGATAGGGTTCTGAGAGGTGGAATGTGTGAGGAAAAGAGAGGGTTTATTGGGAGGTTTGAGATAGGGGTGTGAAGTGGATAAGGGTGTGTCTTTGAGATTGTGGAAGGTTGAAGGAAAGGGAGAAGAAAGAAGGTAAACGTGAACCATTTTCACTCTCTTTCAAAATGCAGCACTGAATATGAAGGTTTTATAAAATTAAGGACGGTTAGTATATAATATGGATGCTTTTACAACACAATCAACAAACCCTCGTTCGGTTTAGGGAAATTAGGAAATTTGGTGGTAACCAGCGGTGATTAGACTAGATTGAATCAGATAACTTAATTGAATAAATCATCCTATAACAAAATTATATATTTATTAAATTGGTTAAATTGAGTGATCGATGTCTAAAAAATATCACAATACTTACAAAATTTTAACTTTTCAAATATTATAATTTTATATGTTGATTTTTAAATTCAAATTTTAAATAAAATAATTATTTAGAATAAAATAATATAAAATACAAATTAAAATAAATTTTGAATAAGTCTAATTGCAAACAAAGAAAAGTTATTCCAAATAAGTTATGGATAAAATTTAATTATATTTTTAACTTTTTTTTTTAAATTATCAAAACGATTTTGTTTTGTCCGAGAACTGTCGATTTTCCAAAACCATCGTGTGATACGGTAGGAGAACTGACTTGAAGGTTTTGCGTTTGATCGCAAATATTGTGGTTAGCAAGAGTCGTCACCGACTTTTCTTTTATCCAAAAGGAAAGTTGAAAAAGCACATGAAAGACCTTTGAGATTATTTCTTGAGTTCGGGGGTAGATTATGAAAAAGGAAGGTATTAGCACCATTTTCATCCATGGTTTTCCATGAGCTCTTAGTTACTTGCTAGATCACTTGCTTTTGTTTGAAATTGTGCTTTGTGTGGTTTTTGAAAGTATTTTGTAAAGAGGTCATTGTTTAGGTAAACTTTGTAATGATTCTCGTTCGTAAGAATGTATATAAAGTGTTTGATCTTTTGAAAATGTTTTCAAGTTTAAAAGATGTTTTGAAAGTGTAGGTGTTTGTTTTGAAAATAACAAGGATGTTTTGTTTGAAATTGAGCATGTAATTAGGAGCATTCTACCTACTCAAAAATCTTTCTTGTTCATTTTCTTTTCCTTTGACATTGTTATCTTACCATTGACTTGGTAAATCTTTGGATGTAAACGGGACGGGCGTGGGTCATCGTATAACCATGATTAGCAATGTTGCAAGGTATCTTAACATTCTCTTTTAGGGACTAAGATCATTTGAAAGGCAACATGGATAGCGTCATCGAGGGACTATGATCTTGTATTTTGCTTGTTCTTGCTAAGATACCTCACATGTGTAATATGGCCATTTAGTAAGGCAACCAAGTGGATTTTATCCTAAGGGGTGCTTGTGTGCAAGTGTATTGTTTTTCATGCTTGATTTTGTCTTTGATTAAGGTTTTCTATTTGATTGGTTTTAGTCTTTCCATACAAACCCTAATTACTAGCATTTATATATAAAACGATAAATTACGGAATTTAAAATTACTACGCTATTACAATACTTGTGGGAGGGGGGTGTACAAATTATAAATAGGGATTGCAAGAAAATAAACCTAATTAATCTATTACAACCATATTGAACTTATACAAGAATTGAAATAAATAATATACATAAAGAATAAATATACAAGAATGCAAATGTAAAGAACATGTGATTTTTTTTGGTTTTCATGAGAAAAAGGGTTTTGATTTTAACCTAATTAACTAGAAAAAAATAATTTATTAAAAGTAAAACCTAAATTTACTAAGAAAAGATTTTAAATAAAACCCTAAATCTATTAGTTGATTAAAAAGAAATTAAGCTTATAAGAAAAGTATTTTTGATATTTTTGTCTTGAAAATAAATTATAGTATTATAAAATATTTTTGGTCTTTTTAAATATTAAAATAATATATTTAAATGGTGTAAAAGAAAATAACTAAAACTCTAGTTTTTAATTAAATTTACAAAATATTTAGTGAAATAAATGAAGTATGATAAAATAAAATAATTTTTGTGTGAGAAAAAATAAATAAACTATGTCCAAATATAAATCTACTATTTTTATATTTTTTATGATTTTTTAGTATTAGAAAAATAATTAAGAAAATAAATAAAATGAAAATAAGAAAATAAAATAAAATGGGCCAGGGGCTGTATAAGTGAAACAAGGGGGTTAGAAAGTAAAAACAAAAACAACAAGGCCCAAGGAGGCCCAGCGCATGTCAAAAAAAGTCACAATGTATGAAAAAAGATAGAAAGAATCAAAAGGGTACCACTAGGGCTCGAACCCAGGTCCCTCTGGTTACAGGCGCGCGCTTCTACCACTAGGGTGGCTAAACATCCGTTTATATAAATCAAACCATAAATATATATGGTAAACACGTTCTTGAGGCCAACTTCATCTTCAACCTCACGTCCAGCCAGAAACTCTGTATCTCATTCAAATCTCAACAAAAATGAAAACTGTAAACATGAAACTTATAGCAAATTTCCTCACGATTTCAGAAATGCAAAGCAAAATAATTATAGCTCAAAGATAAACATGAATTTTAATGGCCCTATTCTGAACCCTAAAAATCTCAGAAACTTCAATCTTAAAATTCTCTAAGCTCAAACAAAATTAATGGAAACTATGGACATGGTTAGCTTTAGGGCAATGATATCTACATGTTTTATTCACAAATAAATCATTGATGATGCCTGTATGAAAAGTTCCAAAGTTATAAAACTTACCTTGCAAGAGGGTATCGGGTTTGGAGTTTGAGAAGCTTTCAGTGAGTTCTAATGATTGGGTTAGCTTCCTCAAGTTCCCAGGAAGCTAATGGGATGCTTAGCTTGAGCTGAAAGTGCCTGAGGAGTTCTAGAGAAGTCCAAGTGCAAAGCTCTATTTTTGAAAATGGTGGATGATGATGGAGGTGTTACAGTGGTGCTGTAGGTGTTGGAATTATTTGTGTATGTTGTTTAGAAGCTTTTGAAAGTAAAAGGCCAAGAAACACACAAGTAGATTTGAAGATTGGCTTCAAAACTCAGAAATGACAAGTTTTGAAGTGTTTTTGGTGATTATGTGTTCTCTGTGTTTTCAGGGCTTAAGCATGCGTGTATTTTGTGGCAAATGGCTTGTGTATGTATACGCAAAAGAGTTTGAGAGCTTTGGACAATCATAAGTACAAGTTTCAAGCTTTTTGTTATGTTACTTGATTTTCAAGAAAAATGGGAAAAAAGTTTCAAGGGGAAGTACAAGCAAGGGTTGGGTGATTGTAAGTGTCTAACAAGTTTCTTATGGGTTATGGGACTTGTATGATCAGAAGAGAACAAGTGCAAGGCTCAAGAACAAGTTTTGTGTAAAAAGTCACTTTATCAAAATGGTAATGTGCACTTTCTTCCCAAAATGGATATAAAACATGGTCTTGCATTGAATGTTTTAAATGAGACCTCTAACAGTTGTGCAAGCAATTAATTATGGAGTTCCTAACAAGTTTGAGGCCTGCAAAGTAGAGGTTATGCAGCACAACTTTGAATTTTGAATTTGTTCATCACAAAATGACTTGTAACTCAAGTGATAAAACCCTAACTTCATCTCTTCGATTCTCCCTATTCAAAAATGATCTCAAGGAGTTCTTGGACATTTTGGAAATCTTACAATGTGCTATACAATCCATCTTTGAATCACTTTTGAAGATTCCTCTTGGAACTATATGAAAAAGTTCCATGAAGTTGGGTCAAAATCCTGACCAAATTAGGGCAAAATTTCACTAAGTGTTTTGTTTCATGACCATGTATTCTTGAAATTATAACTTGAGATCCAAGCATTTTTAGAAGGAGTTGTGTAAAGAAAAGTTGTATATTTCATGGAGATCTTCAACTTTCATGTTGGAAGTTTCTTCTGAATCATCTTGCATCATGGTAAAAAATTTGCTCAAAGTTATGAAAAAATAAGAAATTTCTAACACTTGGAAAAATTTCAATTTTGGATTTTTTGATGAATAAGTTTCATATTTTGACATGTTTTGATGAATTGTGATCTTTGACATTTGATTTTGACCAAAAAGTCAAAGTTTTACTTTTCAGTATACAATTGACTTTTGATCAGTTGATTGAAAATTCATCTGTCAATCCATTGGACTTGAGCAATGCTTTGAGCTATGTTATTAGGTAAAAATGATGCAATTGGACTCTTGAGATCATGCCTTAAACTAATTGAGCATTTGCTAGGTCAAAAATCAGAAATTGCCCTTTCCCAGTCAAAACCCTAATTTTGACCATTTTGCCCTTTTGAAGATTTGATCAAATTTATTGAGGAATTGTGGTCCAAATTTGATCAAATGATACATATGATTTTAAAATGTTGATTTGGATAAAAAATTATGAAGTTTGACTGTAATTTAGCCATGGTTGACTTGTTTCCCAATACAGCTGATTTTTAGGTCAACTGCTCAATTGATTGAGCAAAAGTGTGATCCAAGGCTTGAAACTTGACATGAGTGATATTGGGGGTCCATAATGATCCATGAAAGTCATATGGGGCATTGGAAGTTCAAATATCCTTGTGCAATCTCAAACCCTAATTTTGGTCATTAGTGTTTAAGGAGGTGTCTTGAGCTGATCAACCCTATTGCAATTTTGAACCAAAGGAGATCTTGTGAGCAAATTCTTGATAAATGAGAGGGAAATTTTGGGGTACAACATATCGGTTCATCGATTTTAACCGGTTCCCACCGATTCAATAGCATACATGATTTAGTAATCAGACCAGACCGATGACTCCTACGATTTTTGATTCGACTAACTGATTTGATCTGATTTTTAAAATATTGGGTGTGAGCCTAATTCGAATTATAGATGTGCCTGATTGAAATTACAATATTATTAGTCTCTAATTTCAAAACTCTTGAGTCGAATTATGTGAGTTCATGATCTGAATTATATCTTAACTTGACTCAATTCATAAATATCAATCTTGATTCACATTAAAACGTCAAATGTTTAATTTTACTAATTTAATTCAAACTATTTTTTTCTTTGATCCAAATCATAATCTCATGTTTGGCTCATCATTTTGTCATTTCTTCACCTTTTTTCCACTTAATCTCT